TTGTTGATAGAAATAGCTATTCGAATGAGGTAAATTTGGATTTCTATTCTATGTAATTTATATGCTCTGTTATAATAAATACATTGTACGAGTTTTGTGGATCAGATTTGATATTTTATATTATTAGGATTCCCTCGGATTATATATATATATATATATATATATATATATATATATATATATATATATATATATATATATATTTGTTTGAATAAAACAGACCACTTTAAGGTTCCATGTAATAAGTTATTTCACCACAACCCCTTTAACAGGGCTCTGGATTATCAGACTTTACTTCCAAAGGTTGAAATGAAAAATGAAAAGAAATTCACACGTTTTTGACGGACCGCATCAAGCATATGTAAAATTAACGTTGTGGTGAAATAACTTATTACATGGAACCTTAAAGTGGTCCGTTTTATTCAAACATATCTGCTCTGAATTTTACATTGAGCTCTCCGGATATCATCCTCCTGGGTCTACCATGCGGATTACCTAGTTTTGCATAAACTATATATATATATATATATATATATATATATATATATATATATATATATATATATATATATATATATATATTATGAAATGGACAAAGTCCGACAATTATTTTTTAAGACAGTTTTTATGTCTATACATTCTTTTCATAGATACAAATATTTAATAAATGTTTCTGTTTAGAATAAACAGTATTAAACAACATTTACCGGCCTGAATGTCCGAGAAATTTTCATAGAAAATATTCGTCCTCCGACAGGATTCGAACCTGTATCCTATATCTATGAAAATTTCAGGCCGGTAAATGTTGTTTAATACTGTTTATTATAAACAGAGATCGTTAACCGAATGGTCCTCTGTGGCCAAATCGGTTAAAGGCACGTCAAGCTACATGACGTTTCCGTATAGGATACAGGTTCGAATCCTGTTGGAGGGCAAATATTTTCTGTAAAAATTTCTTGTTCATTATAAACAGAGCATTTACTTAAATATGTTGTATCTCTAAAAAGAATGTATAAACATGTCTTTATTTTTTTATTTATATTTATATATATATATATAAGAAAGAACAATGATATTTATAATTCAGAGTTTTTAATTTTTAAAAACATTGCTCAATACGACTCTTATTATAATTATTTTTTAAAAAAATATGATTCCATCGCGACACAGAGTATCCAATGTTTTAAAACGGAAAACTCCAAATCTAGTTTAATTTAAAAAAATTAAATCTACAATACAGAGCTTCGTTCCATTATCAAGCGATTTTATGAATAACTTTCTAGCGCACATTTTCTTTTTTTGAGTACTTTAAAATCTTAAATCTCGGCACATGCTTGCACCTACTGCATAATCAATTACGAGTGTCAGTGATTTTCCCCCAAATTATATACGGTGGTAATTGTTAGAAAGTTTCAATAGTGAGATGCAATGAAACAAAAATCTTAAAACAATGTATTAAGATTCAATAAAACAGAGATAAAGAATTCAAAGCTAAAATATGAGGCCAAGTAAAATCCGTTTACTTTATATTTTTTACACGTTCCATGATTCATTGATTACTACTGGCTTTATATAAATTGCCTCTTGATCAATATCTTTTCGTGCTAAAAAAACGATGTGCTTAATTAGTGAAGTGAAAATATGACTTGGAATAAAAAGATTAGCAACGGGACGACAAAGACTGCAACGACAGAGCCTATTGCAAGGCCAAGTTGAAGCAAGACAATCACTTAACAAAGTTAAGCGAGTGCTTCACCTGAAAGGTTTGAACAAATAAGACTGCAATCTAGAAAATGTAAATGAAAAGGAACTGATTTTTTAAACGGTTCATTTTGCACGTCAAATAATTTTGCCTAAATGCAGGGAGAATTAGTTGTATAGCATCTTATTTCAAAGCATTTCTCCACCTCATCAGTTTTCTGGGGCAGTACAATCTTCATTATTAATATTATTACTATTATTTTATTACTAGTTTTATTCCATCTTATTATTGTTGCTTTTTATCCCAACCCTCTGGCTCTATACACTCTTCATTATTACTATTATTTTATTACTAGTTTTATTCCATCTTATTATTGTTGCTTTTTATCCCTACACTCTGGCTCTATACACTCTTCATTATTACTATTATTTTATTACTAGTTTTATTCCATCTTATTATTGTTGCTTTTTATCCCAACCCTCTGGCTCTATACACTCTTCACTATTACTATTATTTTATTCCTTGTTCTTCAAATGTCTTGAATTCCTAACAGCAGTATTTCTGTATTTTAAGATATTTTCAACCTAAATATATGTATTCCAATATTAAAGAATAGTTCCAGTTTTGATTTGTGCTGAATTTTTCTTTTAAAAATATCCTTTTCATTTCCAAATCCTCATTTACACGCATTGACTGATTTATCTTTAATGTTTCTGCCAGGCCATGTGGTGTATTGTACTGAATCTTTCTTCAAAGATTTCTTCTGTTCATCAGTTTTTCAAGTTCAGGAGCCTTCCGTGCGTTCTTTGTTCTTGAGCGCAAATTTTCTTTTTTGACTAATTTTAAAAACTCTTCCCGGAACATGCTTGCACCTACTGCATAATCAATCACAAGCGTCAGTGCTTTTCCCCCCAAATGATACACAACGAGTAAATAGCATTGGAACGGTTTGCATCTGTCTTATAACACAGGGCTTTAACATGATTTATAGCAATGGAACTTATTAACACTTAGAATTTACGAGTGGGTGATTTCCTCTATCGCTTGGTCTGTACATTTCATTAATTGACCTTAACACACAGTCTCGGTCTAGCTTAAAAGATTAAAAAGGAAAGTAAATGCTCCATTTCTATGATCTTGTGCCAGACTTGGTTTAGTAAATATCCTTTTACGCTCTTGCTTTGAAAGTCAAATGTCGATTCTCCATGCCATGGCTAGTGAGGTTGAGTTTCATTTATGCTCAGATTACGTGGCCTTGTACCAAGCGGAATTGGAAAAAGACGAAGATAAAAGAAGGAAAGGATTTCAAATGAAAAAGTAAAGAATGAAAGAAAGATAGACAGAAGATATGCAAAAAATGAATTAGAAAAAGGATAAAGAAATAATAAAAAAAGATTTTGAAGACAGAAAGAAAGAGTGGGAAAATCGAAAGAAAGAAAGAAAGGGAGAAAGAAAGAAAGAAAGAAAGAAAGAAAGGGACGGAATAAAGAAAGAGAGAAGAATGGAGAAATAGAAAGAATGAATGAATGAAAAAAGAAAGAAAGAAAGAAAGAGAGAAAGAAAGAAAGAGAGAAGAGTGGAGAAATAGAAAGAAACAATGAAAGAAAGAAAGGAGGAAAGACAGAAAGAAAAAAGAAAGAAAGGAAGGAACTAAAGAAAGAAAAAAAAGAAAAGAAGGAACAGAATATGGAAAGACTGAGAGAAGAGCGGAAAAATAGAAAGAATGAATGGATGAATTAAAGAAGAAAGAAATAAAGAAAGAAAAGAATGGAAGACAGAAAGAAAGAAGAATGGAGAAACAGAAAGAATGAATCACTAAATGAATGAATAAATGAAAGAAAGAAAGGAAGAAATAAATAAATAAAGGAAGAAACGGAAGAAAGAAAGAAAGGAAGGAAGGAAGGAACGGAAGAAAGAAGGAAGGAAGGAAGGAAGGAAGGAAGGAAGAAAGAAAGAAAGGAAGAAAGAAAGAAAGGAAGGAAGGAACGGAAGAAAGAAAGAAAGAAAGAAAGAAAGAAAGAAAGGAAAGAAAGAAGGGAAGGAAGGAAGGAACGGAAGAAAGAAAGAAAGAAAGAAAGAAAGAAAGGAAAGAAAGAAGGGAAGGAAGGAAGGAACGGAAGGAAGGAAGGAAGGAAGGAACGGAACGGAAGAAACGGAAGAAAGAAAGGAAGAAAGGAAGGAACGAAGGGACGAAAGAAAGAAAGAAAGAAAGAAAGGAAGGAACGGAAGAATGAAAGAAAGGAAGAAAGAAAGAAAGAAAGGAAAGAAAGAAGGGAAGGAAGGAAGGAACGGAAGAAAGAAAAAAAAGAAGAAAGAAAGAAAGGAAGGAAGGGACGGAAGAAAGAAAGAAAGAAAGAAAGAAAGGAAAGAAAGAAGGGAAGGAAGGAACGGAAGAAAGAAAGAAAGAAAGAAATGGAGGAAGGAAGGAACGGAAGAAAGAAAGGAAGTAAGAAAGAAAAACAGAAAGAAAGAAAGGAACGAACGAACGAACGAAAGAAAGAAAGAAAGAAAGAAAGAAAGGAAGAAAGAAAGGAAGGAAGGAAGGAAGGAAGGAAGGAACGGAAGAAAGAAAGAAAGATAGAAAGGAAGGAAGGAAGGAAGGAACTAAGGAACGAAAGAAGGAAAGGAAGAAAGAAATAAAGAAAGGAAGGAAGGAAGGAAGGATGGAAAGGAAGAAAGAAAGAAAGAAAGAAAGAAAAGAAAGAACGGAAGGAAGGAACGGAAGAAAGAAAGAAAGAAAGGAAGGAAGGAAGGAAGGAACGGAAGAAAGAAAGAAAGGAAGGAAGGAAGGAAGAAAGAAATAAAGGAAAGAAAGTAGGGAAGGAGGGAAGGAACGGAAGAAGGAAAGAAAGAAACAATGAAAGAAAGTAAGAAAGAAAGAAAGAAAGAATGGAAGGAAGGAAGGAAGGAAGGAACGGAAGAAAGAACGAAAGAAAGGAAGGAAGGAAGGAACGGAAGAAAGAAAGAAAGAAAGAAAGGAAGGAAGAAAGAAAGAAAAAAAGAAAGGAAGGAAGGAAGGAAGGAAGGAACGGAAGAAAGAAACAAAGGAAGGAAGGAAGGAAGGAAGGAAGGAAGGAACGGAAGAAAGAAAGAAAGAAAGAAACAAAGGAAGGAAGGAAGGAACGGAAGAAAGATAGGAAGAAAGAAAGAAAGAAAGAAAAGAAGGAAAGAAAGAAAGAAAGAAAGAAAGAAAGGAAAGAAGCAAGAAAGAAAACGAGAATAAAGGGGAAATAGAAATAATGAATGAATGAAAAAAGAAAGAGAAAGAGAAAGTATCAAAATTTATGAAGAAAAAAACTTAAAAAAAAAAGCATTTAACAGAAGAAAGAGAAAAAACCGCTGTTGCGAAATAAATGAAGAAAAGTGAAGGAAAAAATGATTTAAAGAAAATAAAGAAAAAAAGGAAAAGAGGAAGAGGAAAGCAAAGAAACAAGAGTTTCAAAGAAAGAATAAAGAAGAGAGAAAATAAGCAAATGTTTACAGAAAGAAAGAAAAAGAAAGGAAAACAGACAGAAAAGAAAAGCTACAAATGAAAAAGATGATGAAAATAAGAGACAAGAAAGAAAGATGAAATTGTTATAAAAGAAATAAAAAGATGGGGAAAGTAAGAAGAATGAAAACGTTTTAAATAAAAGGAAAAAGAGGTACAAAAGAAAAATATGACGGAGAAAGAAAGAAAGAAAAACGGAAAGGAATTTGTGGGAAAAAAGGTGAAGAAGAAACGTGAAGAAAGAAAAATATTTTAAGGACGAAAGAAAAATGAAGAAAAACAACGAATGAATAATTGAAAAAAGAAACAAGGTAAAGAAAGTAAGAAAGAGAAGGAGAAAGTTTAAAAGAAAGACGAAAGAAAAAAATGAAGAAAGAAAGAAAAAAAGAAAGAAAGGAATCTAAAAAATCTACGAAAGAAAGAAAGAAAGAAAAGGAGGAAAGAAAGATAGAAAGAAAGAAAGAAAAGAATTTCCGAAAATCTACAAAATGAAGAAAGAAAAAGAAAAGAAAGAAAGAAAGAAAAAAAAAGAAAGCAATCTACGAAAAAAGAAAAGATGGCGGAGGAAAGTTATTTAGAAAAGTAGTTTCAAGGAACAAAACTGAAGTTGTGAAAAGGAAAGGAAGCGATGAGCTTGGAAGAAAGAAGTAGTAAAATCCGAACACAACCATTTTTAATTTTCGCTGTCTAAAACTTCCCCGGGAAGAGCCTTGAAGAGGCCGTAACGATTGTCTGTTGTCCATCACCCCTCACTATGCGATCGGTTCCTACCATAAAGTATTGCGTCGGAAGTAACTGGACAATAAGTACTGTTTGTATTTGGGGCGTGTGTATCTCACGTCGTGGAAGAGGTGGAAGGCCGGGGATAGACATCCCTTGTGGACCAATATTGTCAACAAGGGGACGCCACACCAAGGGAAGGACACTTGTTTGTTGCTAGGCATTTTTGCCTTAGGTGAATATTAACATGGATGAAACAAAGGAGGCGAAAAGAAGAAAACGTATTTGGTTTGGAACGCCGACATAATTGGAACTTAGAAATATCTTATATCAAGTAGCATTGTTTTTATTTATTTTGTGTGTGAGTGTATTTTGATTTTTTACAGTGAGATTCCTCCTCCTCCTCTCTCTCTCTTTCTTTCTTTCTCTCTCTACCAACTCAATACTGTACGAACAAGACGTGTCTTGTTCCCCCTTCCAGGGGACTGCATAGTCTCCGGTGAACCGCGTGGCACATTGTACGTCATAAGTATTTATATGGATATCTCTATATGAATACAGACAAAAGGAAAACTATTCTTTACAGACGCGTTTCATCCTCTGATGGAGTGTGTGTGTGTGTGTGGGGGGGGGCGCATAAGCATGCGTTCTAAAATGAATAAATACATACATACATACATACATATATAAATACATACACATATATATATATGTGTGTGTGTGTGTGTGTGTGTGTGTAAACATAATTTATCTTTACGCCTACACATTTATATACATATATGTATATAGATATATATGCATGAGTGTGAGTTTGAATTACAGCGTTTCAAAAATGTCCGAATGTAACCAACAAAATCTTATCTTTCCAGTTTTTGACAATGAACGAGACGGGCCAAAATACTTGATCAAAATATAAACTTTGTCTAAAATTAAACAGAGAGACCTTGTTGGTCGAATTATACAAACTTTATTGAACATATATATATATATATATATATATATATATATATAATTAAGTTATGAAGAACTTGGTAATCCGTATGGGTAATCCCAAGGAGGATGAAATCCTGAGAGCTCAATGTAAATCCAGAGCTAATATTTAAAAGAAAAACAGACCACTTTAAGGTACCATTATAATAATTTATTTCGCCAGAGTCCTTTTAAAGGACGCCGGATTATCAGATAGCACTTCCAAAAATGAAATGAAACGAAAAACATTTTTTGAGATAGCACTTCCAAAAGTGCTATCTGATGATCCGACGTCCTTTGAAAGGGCTCTAGTGAAATAAATTATTATAATGGTAAACCTTAAAGTGGTCTGTTTTTCTTTTAAATATTTATATATATATATATATATATATATATGTTCTGTTGAGATTTCTATCAGACTCGATGAATTACTTAAATATAATTATCAAATCCTCTAATAATTTATAATATATATATATATATATATATATATATATATATATATATATATATATATATATATATGCATGTTTCACTAAAGACGACAGACAAGATGCTACGATTAACCTTTTTATTTAATTTTTCTTGTGTTCGAACAAGACCTTTCTTTTTTGAATGAAGCATTGCTGGCTAATTACACAAATATATATATATATATATATATATATATGAAGAAATATACTTTTTTATGGGATAAAGTGCTCAATATCAGAGATAGAGCATGTGTAAATATAAAAGTGAACATTGAAGTCAACACTTAGAGGCGACACCTAGCATCTAGCGTTTAGCATGAAACAAACTGTCGCCTCTAAGTGTTGACTTCAATGTTCACTTTTATATATATACTAGAAGGAGAGCCCGGCGTTGCCCGGGGATGTAACAATACGAGATAGATCAAGTATCGACCTTCATAAAGACTGAAAAATAAAATTGACAAAGATTATCGTTTAAGGTTGACGCACACGCATGTCTTAATTAGTTTTTTTTTTGTTTTTTTTACGAATTGGTCAAAACCAAACTCAAACAAAAACATTGTTTTCAATTGTTATGAGTCTACCCATTGAATAGAATTTTATTATATACAATTGTCTCGTAAATGGAATTTTAAAATCATTCTGAATGTAAAAATAAAGAAAAAAAGCGTGCAAGACAATAAGAAAAACTACCTGCCAAAAAAAAGTGAAGTTTTGTTGAAATCGGTTGAAAAATATAGGAAATCCGATCCCATATATAAACGAACATAGACACACACACACACAGACAACTTGGGTTTTTATAATAAGTATAACTTGATATGAGTTGTTCCCCTTTCATTCTCGCGACAGCGATGCCTCTTAATCGTGTTTTCAAATTGATTTCGTGCAAAAACAATTGTGTTTTTTCAATTTTGGCGCTGTCAGAACCACCGCAAGGTAATTTTACGTGGTCCTGTGAAGTTTTATTTGAAATCAGTTTGAAAAATGTAGGAAATCCGATCAATATATAAACGAAACACACACACACACACACACACACACACACACACACACACAACCTGGGTTTTTTTATAAGTATGATATATATATATATATATATATATATATATATATATATATATATATATATGGTTTTAAAGTTATTTTTGATGGATAATAATATTCGGGCGGTAGACGGAGACGACCATTTTTCCCGCATCTTATGTATGAATTCCACTTGAGGCCAAATGTTCATTTGTGACCTAATAATCTCTCAAGGCACAGAACCTCACCGAGGGGACATCCATTTATGGTGACTGGCAACAGTGCGGGGCCCGAACGGCGGTGATGAGATTCTGACAATGTCCATCCTTGTATTGATCCAACAACTAATTCCTCAATAAATCTTATTCTATCCATTCTGTTATATTCATGCTTTAATTTTGGCATCGATTAGGCGCTGTCCGATAACGTTCAGACGGTTTTCCCTCTAATTGTAATTCGCTGATTAAAGATGAACACCAATCATCACTTGTTGAGTGGATTGGTCATTGCATAGATAGTCTTGCTGTGGCTTTTTCCTAGACGAAGTAAACATTAACTATCGCTAATCTGGTAACTTCAAATCATCAGAGCCGTTTCGACTGAAAGACAAACTGAAAAACCAAGTACGATTTCTCATGTTCAGTGTTAGGGTTGTAAGCCAATTTCTAACACCTAGAGTGCAAACCGCTAGTTTATACCGTAAACAATATAAGCAGACCTTAATTACAGTTTATAGATATCCCCACCAAGGCAGGTTGTGACACAAGGTCGTTTTAAAGTGGGGAGCACTATACGCATATTTATGCATATGAGCCAATAACAAAATTTGTAGTCTTGCTCAGCACTCGAGACCACTGTCACACTGGCAACGACCCAACCTCTTTAGTGCAATGAGGAAGGTGCTGCCTCGGGGTTGGAATCTCCGGGGTTGAGCAACTTCTATCTAAAATGATGAGAAACATAGCTCCACTTACAGCAGAGTCGGGGAAGGGTGGAACGCGATAACCACGCCTAAGTAAACACCCATTGGCTATTGGTTAACTCCTGTGCAAGATAAATATTAATTATGTGCTTTGCCAGAGTTACATACTCTGTAGGCCAAAAGGGTGGAGCCACTTTCAGAATTTCAAAGGATGTGCGGCTGGTGTAATAGCGAAATCGCTGAAACGAGTTCGAATTTCAATCGAGTTCATTAAATTCACAAAATGAAATAAAAGCATATTAAACATAGTTGGTAGTAAATGTGTGCGTGTGTGATACGCATATGTGTGTGTGCGCGCGCGTGTGTGCATGTGTATGTGCGTGCGGGTGTGTGTGTCAAAAACTTCAGTCGAAAGATATCCTTAGCGGGGACAAGTTCCATGTTGGTGTTTCTACCTACCGCATGCTAGATTGAAAAGAAGAAAGAGAAAAAGTAAGTTAACTCCGTCCTTTTATAGTACTTAAACAACACCAGCTAACTGCTTTTTGTCAGATCAAGTGGGGTTATGCACCCACGTAAGAAAATAGTAATAATAATAATAGTCAGTTCTTGGATAACTTGAGAAAAAAGCTACATAGATAACAATATCTCGATGGCAGCTAAATAGATAGGTAGATATAAACAGTCATATATATATATATATATATATATATATATATATATATATATATATATATATATATAAAAGTGAACATTGAAGTCAACATTTAGAGGCGACAGGCTGTTTTCATGTTAGACGCAATCGTCAGGCCACATATCATATATATATATATATATATATATATATATATATATATATATATATATATATATATATATATATGTGAAAAGTGTATATAAATATAAATAAATATATATATATGTATAATTATTTATATATTATATGCGCGGTACTTATTAGAAAGCGCTCAATATCAGAGATAGAGCTAACATATTTGGTTGGATAGATGTGAGTTTATGACCCTGGGTTTCAATACAATAACTATTAGCTAACTATCATTGTCTCCAATCCCTTGAAACATTACTATCACATCATATCATATAGACCCGTTATTAAATTGAACTACCCTCTCACCCAGCACATTGAATATTAAACATCACCATATAAATTATCCAATAAGGGTTACAAATTTCTACCTGTTACATATACACAGTCACCAAAAACAAACAAATAACCAGCTTTAAATATAACAAATAAATCCCCATTTATTACTTTTTTCAAAAATTGAAAAATAAATATAAATAATAATAATTTTTACCTATCATAATTTTACACAAACCCACGACACGTATATACATACATGCGAGGAAATATTTTTCAGCGTAAAATACATAATATGACATGTATACATTCACGAGACATTAACGAGACATTTCCGCCACACTTCCAATTTCAACATTTCAACATACAAATGCGTATGTATAGATATAACACCACCCGTATACATACATGTGTCATAGCCGAAACTGCCCACATATGTTTATATATGTATGAGTCCCGACGGACGACCAAGTATGTATATGTGTCTGCATACATCGATGTTTGCGTTAGTACGATGAATGACAAAACGACGAAGTTTCCCCCACCACTTCACAATAACGCCAATACACGCAATCTACATAAACCCAATTTTTAAAACATTAATCAGTTTGTGAAACCCAGGGTCACAAACTCACATCTATCCAACCAAAATATATATATATATATATATATATATATATATATATATATATATATATATATATAAACAGATAGCTAGATACAGTTCAACCACATGATCCAGACAACTTCAGAATCTCCTGCATCTCTTCTAGATGGTCTCCTTTAAGTTGGCGAATGCTGCCATAATCCTTGCCTTCAGTTCATCTTTGATGTTACAAGGAAATTTGTTAGTCTTTCACTCAACTGTGCCCCACACATAATAATTAAGGGGGTTGCAGTTTGGGGATTTAGGTAGCCAGATATAAAGGGTAATGTGGTCGCAGAAATTGTTTGATAGCCATGACTGGGTTCTCCTGCTTATCTAACATGGCGCAGATTCTTGTTACCTGACGTAGTTTCTTCTAGCAGCCACCCTCTTAACCTAGAGTAACACTACCTCTTCAAGGCACTTGATGTAGGGGTTTTTGTTGAGTCTGAGAGCCTGTGGGACGATAAATGAAAGCATAACGTCACCATCACTCGTGATTACTCCAAACACCATAATGTCGTATATATCATCCAACTCTTTCCGATTCCTCTGCACAGTCAGGCACCCAATCACACTGAAATATTCGGATTGTAGCTTCCGGTACGAATGCTAAGCATACCGTTTCCAAATTTCTGGTGGCGTTAATTGCATCAGGGAGCTCTTTTTCCTACAGACAGTGCCCAACTGACTCTTCTATACTGCGCAGCCGACAAAATAAAAAACAAAGCGCATGCGCAAAATTAAAAATATAAAATTGCGACAATTTAACAATCGCAACCTGTAGATAAATAGATAAATGCGGGCTGAGTGAGATAGATAAATAAATATAAACAGACATAGATAGATAGATAGATAGATAGATTCAACAATAATATACCACGGGTTATTAGACAAAAACAAAGTATTATTATTTATCCGTTGCCCCATGCAGCAGGATGTGGCACAAGGCCGAGTTTTAAAGTGGGGTATCCGAGCCCGTAGGCTCGGGCAAAAATTGCCTATAGACCACGTAAAAACGGAGTCAGTTTCCCGAGACGAGACTCTGCCCTTGTGAGGAGCTTCGTCTGGGGGATGTGGTGAACGCGCGTCAGTACAGACTCAAAATAGGCGTCGGATGGCATGCAGAGACGTATATCAACCCCAGTTAGCAGCGGGACTGTTTGGAATGTCTAGCTAGATAAGGGCCGCTCTGCAACTGGCAAAGATTCGGAACTTTGTAAGATGCCTCATGCCAATAAAAGCTGGGGGAAAACAGCAGTCGGCAAGACACGGTGTCTTGTTAAGTCTGTCTCGTGGGCATTTTATTCCGCAAGTTGCTGTGGTTTCCGGGGCAGTGTTATTTTTTGTTACCTCTCATCTTTTTGCCTCCTCTCTCCCTATTATCCCCATAGTCATTGAGAGAGTAGTCGGTTAGGTCCCCCCCCCCACCAATCTCAACAGACACTTTGTTAACAATATAATGAAATATTCTTCTTTTTTATGTGCTGTGGCCTTTCAGGCGATCATGACTCTCCACTTCGCCTTTCCCTTGTAGCTCTCAATAAGTTTTGTCCCTCTGCCATCTCCCCCAGACCACGTTCTGTCATCCACTTGCTTAAGACTTCCAGGTATGTCATGCGTTGCTTTTCCTTGTCTCTCTTTCTCTCTATTCGACCTGTGAGTATCAGATTCTCCAGGCACTCCTTTCTCACTACGTGTCCCTGAAATTTCAATTGCCTCTTCCTGATGTTAAGTATAAGCTCCCTCCTTGTTTGTATCATCTCCAAAACCTCATCGTTGCTCACACGCTCGGTCCATGATATCCTTAGCATCCTTCTGTAGAACCACATCTCCGTTGCCTCGAGTCTCTTCTTCATCTTTGAGGAGACCGTCCAACATTCGCTGCCGTAAAGGAGGACAATTTATTGCCTTTTCAGTCATTAATATTTTAATTAATTCCTAAGTAAACGCTTCCTTCTTATGCTATTTATTTTTCTCGTGTCACCTCCCCAGATCACATTCTGTCACCCACTTGCTTGAGCCCGCAAGGTATGTCATGTGTTGCTTTCCTTTGTCTCTTTTTTCCTCTAAAAACCTGTGAGTATCAAATTCTCCAAGCCCTCTTTTCTCATTACATGTTCCAGAAATTTCATCTGCCTCTTCTTTATGTTAAGTATAATCTTCGTCCTTGTTTGCATCCCCTCCAGCAGAGCAACTTTTTGCTGCCTCTTGGGCTCACGTTTTCCACTGAGATGAAATGAAGTGATTATATTAAATCAATTGCTAGGAAAGATGGTCCACTGTGCCATGCCAGACAAATTTTCTCGTCAGAATCCATCTTGGACATTTATAAATCTACCATTCATCTATACATTGTTTTGTGATGCCAACGAACACTCGTTGCCACTTTTGTAATATCAACGAATATTGTTGTCACACTTCGTAATGCTACTTGTAGAGCCTTTATAATCGCTGATACAACTATAGTAACCCCGTTGAACAATACTGGTGTCAGACTCCTTTGAATAACACTCTCACTAATAGTACCCGCTCGAAGAGTAATCACTGAATAGTTATCCGAATAGTGAAGATATTCACTAATCTCCCCACGCGGTCGGATGTGGCACAAGGTCAAGTTTATTGTGTGGTTTCGGAGCCCGTACGCTCGACCAAAAATTCCTCGTAGACGCCGTAAAAAAACGGAGTCGGTAGCTGTCTCCCGAGACGAGACCTTGCCCTTCGACATAGCCTCGTTTGGGTTCCTCTCTGCCCGGCGGCAAAGAGTTTGACAAGCACACTTCCGAAGTAATCCGGAGAGTGAGATATTCACCTCCCGACCCACGCGGTTAGATGCGGCACAAGGCCAAGTTTATTGTGGGGTTATTGAGCCCGTGGACCCGGTTAAAAATTACTCGTAACTGTCTACCACCCCAGACGAGACTCTGTCCTTCGGCACAGCCTCGTCTGGGTTCCTCTCTGCCCGGCGGTAGAGAGTTTGACAACCACACTTCCGAAGTAATCCGGATAGTGATCACTTAGAAGCCACGCTAATTCCCATATATAAATTACCTTTACCATCACGTGATTTACTTATTCAAAAGGGGATCCCCCGTGTTTTCTCTCTTGTGATCTGTGTTCAAACTCCAGTGACTGGGGCTCCTACTATAGATTTCGATTCTTGACAAAATCCAGACAAAGATCTGTAATATTATCGATCTTGACCTGGCATCGCCACTTCAGTCACTTTCTTACCGACTTGACGTAGTTTCCCCTCTATCTTTTTTAGAAATATTCCCATTATATTTTTTTCAATTAGCATTTCACCTTGGTAACTCGACTTTATGAATGTAAAAGTTTCTACTGGATTAGCAACTAGGTATTACTGTTTTACTTTTGTACTAGCAAAATGCAACTGTCTGTTCTATCCCAACAGTTTATTTTCTCGCACTTCTTTCTCCTGGAACTCCTTTTCGATTTCTTGCTTCCCTGTCAACTACAATCTTCAAAGATTTAAATGAAATATATGTCTTCCTGAAACCTGTTCTTATATTGTCCTTTCTACTTACTAAAGTCTTCTTATTCTCTTTCACTCTCCCCTTGTACCTTAGTGGCATTATTGCCTTACTTGGGGTGAAATTATTTAAAAAAACAAAACAAAAAACGAACGAATTTAAAATACATATACACCGACGGTGATTATGAAGAATATTTCCTGTTACTAAAGTCATGTTCAACATCTCGGCTTTTAGAAGATTTCATATTAATGGAAAGGTCACCACAGTTCAATCTTTGAACTACGTTGTTTTTTATCTTCCTCAATGACCTTCCCGATGTCATCATTTCCCAAATAGGTTTTTACGTTGATGACCCAACTCATTTTACTCTTTTCTTAGTAACAGGTACGTTAGTTGCGACAAAGTGAAGTTGGCATCTGCTCTCTAAATTGACTTCTAACTATTGAAATAGCTAGATAATACCGCATGTTCTATTCTAATAGTTTCTTCTCTCGTACTTCTCGGCTTCTTCGAATTTCCTGCTTTTCTGCGAGATATTGGGTTGGTGCATAATTATCAGGCGTTTTTGAAGGCGAGTTATTTGTAAATAAAAATTGCTGTTTTGTTTACTTTTATTATTATTATTTTATTTTCAGGCTACAAAAATGCGTGTCAATAATCATACGCTCCGGAATAATCATTTTAAAATGTTATTGTTGAATTATTATGTTTCTTTTATCATAATAAATATTGTTTAAAAAACGCCTGATAATTATGCACCAACCCCAATACAATCTTCAAAAGTTTAAATGCAGCGTCAATCGCCATCTTCTGTCTTCCGGAATTCAGTTCTTTTACTGTATTTTTCATCAATAAAGTCTTCTTATTCTCTTTTACTTGATGTAAAATTATTAAAAAAAAAATAAAAAAAAAACAAAAAAAAACAAAAACAAAAAAAACGAATGAATTTAAGATACATATACACAAATGGTGTTCACGAAGAATATTTCCTGCTACCAGGAAAGCTCCGAAAATTAGAAGTTTGACGCCATATCATATAGTCGAGACAAATGGAAAGGGAAGCTTCCTATCGGCATACCTACTGGTCTATAAATTAGTGGTATTATTGTTTGCAGATATCTCTTTGTTGGAATAACGCAGTACACGCGCGCGCACACACACACATATATATATATATAGGAAAGAAAAATACAGAAAAAACAATCAAAATCTGAATATGCAATTATGTAGTATTAATGTTAAAATAAAGTCGACGTCGGACGTTTCGGTCTATTTAAGACCATCATCATGGACATTTTCATTTAAACATAATTAACATTAGAACTTATAAAAATTTTTAACACAAAAGACGATGGACATAAGAGCCCAACTGATCCAAACAGATAATTGAAATTTTATACAGATCAGCGTTCTGTTTAAATATGATCAGGTAGTCGTCACGTGGGCGATGTTGTTAAAACGTATTCGAAGATGATTTCCAAAAAATTAAAATATTAAAAAGTCGATTGAAAATTTTGTATAAACAGTTCAAGAAATCTAGTGATCAATAGGTTCTTATTTCTTCAACAAGCTTGAAGTCCTTCCCGTTACAAGGCAAATCAAAAAATGATTTCAAAAACAATGGAACAGTTCTAAAAAATGTTTAAATGAAAATGTCCATGATGATGGTCTTAAATATACCGAAACGTCCGACGTCGACTTTATTTTTTAACATTAATACTACATAATTGCATATTCAGATTTTGTTTGTTTTTCTGTATTTTTCTTTCATACTGTCGGATTTATATCCATATATTTGCTTACATATATATATATATATATATATATATATATATATATATATATATATATATATATATATATATACGAACCACCACGTAAGGTGAAACCTAGGTAGGTTTGCCTGTCTCTTTAGGTTCATAGACTTACTCTACTTCGTGTATTGAGCACTTTGCTTAGTTATTTTTGCTTTACTCGTGTTGGAGGTTTTTTTTCTTTGGACTCTGAGCTTGGATTCTGGACGATTGTTTTCGTCTGAATTATATGTTCTTAGTTCTTTCTTTTTTATTCCTTATTTTTCCTTGGGTATTGGTTTTCGGACAGTATACTTACTTATATTTATAAGATTATTATATATATATATATATATATATATATATATATATATAGCCGCTATTCATTACTCCACCATAAATATATATATATATAGCTGCTATCCATTACTCCACCATATATATATATATATATATATATATATATATATATATATATATATATATATATATATATATGTGTGTGTGTGTGTCTGTGTAACAAATATATGTATATAGATCCGACAGTATGAATAAAAATATACGGAAAAAACAAACAAAAATCCTAATATGCAATTATCTGTTTGGATTAGTCTTACTCTTATGCCCATCGTCTTTTTCA